AGAAAGCAGTTTTTGTAACCTAAATTTTTTGCTGTAACTTCAAATTGGTACTAAATTTTCTGTAGAAGAACATTTAAACATCCGTGTTGCTTTAGTTACTAGAAATCCTGATCGTTCTGGAACATTAATTAAGTTTAGGAATAAGGTCAGGGCATTGGTCACTTAGCTGGGATGTGGATTAAAGCAGGTTTATACATAGTTAGAAGATAATATGTTTCCATAACAGTTACAAACTGATGATGTTATGCTATAACTTCATAGTGAAAAGATCAAGTTTTATAAGCTGCTACCTCCTTGTGTTCTGTGCTCAAGTCTTTTCAACTAGTGAGCTCTATTTCTCCTCTGCTGAGATCTCTTCTCTGTCTTTTTTTTTCCTTTTCTCTTTGCGAGATTGAAGACTCTAGAAGTTGATTTGACAAACAGATATGAGAATTTGGGATCCTTCATTTGATTCTACAGTTTCTACTTTATGTTATCTGCCGGCGTTTGTTTCTGTTTGCTAGATTGAAGAGTCTAGAAATAACTGATTCTTTTAAAACTGTGGACATACCCATGCCATGTCCAACCTAAAAGGAACCACAGCCCTTATATTAAACGATTCAGGCTTCCTGAGTAGGATTGAATTTTTAATGGTCACCACCTACTAGACAGTAGGTGCCAGTAATGCGAGAAACTTCTTTGCCCATGGTGGATGTTCAAAAGTTACAATCAAACTTGAGGACTCCTAGGTGTCTTAGATGTTTTTCTTAATTTGGCAAACTTGTTTCCTGTTGTTTCCTTTCTTTTGAATTTTAAGCTTTACTGTGTAACAGTATTTTGCTAAGCAATTTTCAGAGTCATTCTGGTTCAAATCTAGGACAAACTCTTGGTTCTTGCTGGATTTCGACACCAGGCTGTCTTTATAAGGATTGACCCTATTCTTAATTAGACCATATATGTTCTTGTAGCACATGCAAGTTTGTGTAGCGCATAATTCAGATAGTTTAAGAGTCAGTTTAGGATTTTAGTTTAACAGTGTCTGCATCCTTATCAGTCTATATAATGTATCTGTGATGCAGAGGGACACTACTGTTATAACTGCTGAGAATAAGGAGCTCAAGCTTCGCTTACAGGCTATGGAGCAACAAGCACAACTAAGAGATGGTATGCATATTATTCATATATTTGTGCTGTTATGGAAAAGGAGTGGTGGAATTGTTTTATTTTCGTGTGGCTCGAAATACCTTGAGCTTTCAAGTTAGCTAACTTTTCTTTTGAGGTTATATTATAGTTGCTTTGCTTTTTGTTTTTTTTACACCTACAGCCTTGAATGAAAAACTTAAGGAGGAGGTTCAGCGGCTTAAGATTGAAACCAACCAAATCCCACCTGGGAATGGAAACCCTTTCTACAGAGGGCTCCCCCCTCAATATGCCGCCCCTCAGTCGTCCTCACATCATCAGCTTGGTAGCGGCCAGACCCAGCAGCACCATCACATGCTTCACAACCAGGCTGTTTCCAATGGACAGGCTCGCCCGAGCTTCATGGACTTCAACCAGAGGGCCTAGAAACTCTATTTTAGTTATTGACCACAGGAACATATTTATGTTTGAGAATTTAGAGGAGGGTAGTTAATCTCAGATAGCTTCTTGTACATACTACATACAGATGTATATGTATGTGGTGCAGGACTTAAGGCTGTGAAGATTGCTGCTCACACAGTACACAGAACCCACAGTACCCTGTATCAGTTAAAAACTATAGATGAATTATGTTATCATTTCTAGGAGATAGGATCGTTTAGAGCATGTTTTAGTCCTAATCTTACTGGAACACCTGCTGGGTTGTATTAGCGTTTATGCTAATAAGATCTTTTATTTCCTATGGAAGATTGATTTACTCTGTGTCCTTTGTTTTTTGTTTTTGTTTTGGGGGTGGTCTTTTTTGCTAACCAATATCAATCTGTTTTCTTTCTCTTATGATTGTTTCTTAAATTGTAGTTTTATTTATTTTTTATTTCTGCCAAAGTTAGGAAGGAGGGGGTTTTCTCTGTTTTTTTTATTTTTCTTCAGTCAGAAGAGAGGGATTTTTCTCACACACGCTATGAATATGCCATGAAGATTCAAACTCAAGGCTATTAGTCTGCAAATCAAAACCCCTTTTTCACTACCTAGACCCCATATTGTTGTTCTATTGATGGCTGCTTTATTGTCTGTTTGTCATTTGTTTTTTTTGGTTCTTCTATTGCTTTTCTACATCCAAGGACGTGTCACTCGTCAATGGAAGATGCCCTTCCAAATGGCGAGTCTAATCTCATCTCATTTGGTCGCATGTACAGGTATGAGTGGAGAATTAAAGATAATTAATTGTGTCGTTGTCAATGAAGAAAATTAATTATTTATGGTGTTGTCAATAAAGAAAAATTATTTGTGTCGTTGTCATGTTGTATTAGGTCCATTATTCATCATCGAGGAGGAGAAATATCACATGCAAGTTAGGTGAGCATGACATGTGCCACCCTTGTACAGGCACCATTGAATAACATCATCAACGACCCCTATTATATTAGTTTATAAAGAAATAGTATGCATACTATTATATATTACTTAATTTAGAGAGAGAGCTTCTCGGAGAGGGATGTACGTATCCCAAGGGATTTGTTCTTAGGTCATCTTCAATCATAAAACGGTTAAATTTAGAGTCTTGTTGATAACTATTTCAATTTTAATTTTTTACTTTTAACTTTTTGTGGAGAATGAGAGCGGTATTGATTCTCCAAAATGAGCAAAAAAACTTTCTTGTAATAGAGATAGCAATGAAAAAAATCAGGATTTTGGCAATGTGAGGCCACTTTCAATTTGGCCTCTACAACCAGCCCCCTTTAATTAGGGATGGAAATGGATCGAATCTGGAGTGGGTAAATCATTTCCATTCCGTTAAGCATTTTTTCCCCATCTCGCCTTCATGTCCGGAATATTTAAATCGGGGATTCCCCATCCCCATCTTCATTGGGAAACGGGTTCCATGATCCGCCCCATTACGAATATATATATATATAACCTATTTGTTGAACGAGAAAAAAAAAAAAAAAAACTATGAATAGAAGATATGTATCAATTCAATTTTTATTAACTAAAAATCTAGAATATTTAAAAAAAAAAAAAATGATCATCAATATAGAGGTAACACAACCATCACACATCTTAATAATATATTTATATGAATATTCTAAACACGCGGGGGTTTGGGGGGTTGGTTGGTTTGGGTTGGGGATTATTAGAATATCATCTTCGCCCCTCCCCGAACATACCCGAAAAATTCTTCGAACTCATCATCATACCCCTTTTTTTATCCTTCGTACTCGTGCAGAAATTTGCCATCCTTACCTCAAATCCCTACCTCTAACTGTAGTTTTTGCCAAGTCCTTAGGGAAATAGTACACTTCAAGGGTAAATTTTATGTTCTTTCTTAAATTAGTAGAATTAATTTAGAGGGTCTTATTCGGTTTAAGTGTTGATTAGTGTTTTCGTCCAAAAAAAAAAAGTGTTGATTAGTGTATTAATCTCGCTTTTCAAATTAGATGGAAGGCAACAACGTTATGAAACTTGACATTCATGGAAGACTTGGTAGGATATGTCATGGTGTTCTTCAGAGCCTACTGTTAAAAAGATTGAAATGAAATTGTAAGAAAAAGAATACAAAATATGCAATACATAAGTTGAGCTTGGTGTGGGCCCATATCGGCCCGTTTCGTGGCTCGACAAAAGCCCGTGCCAGTCTTATATGGGCTAGGGCTGCTAACTCAAGTCAGACTTAATAATTTTCATAAATGGATGGACTTGGTTTGACTTGTTTATTAATTGTGTCGATTCTAAACCAGCATGTTCGGTCTGGCATAGTCCTTTTGACATCTTTACTCTGCACTCCTCAATGTCTTAAGTTTGATTCTCCTTACCCTAATATCACTTGTATAAAAAGAAAAAAGAAAAAGTAAAAGAAAAATAGGAGGACTCATAATTTATTACGTCCCCTTCCCTAAAAAAAACAAATAAATGCTGGGAAAATATGAAGTGCTTTGCCCCTTCTTTTTTTTTTTTTTTTTTTTTTTTGACCCTTCTTTACTGAATAAATTGTCTCAATTTTGGGCTGTAGCCCAATTCCTTCTATATTTTGTGTTTTTAAAATTTATATTTTTAGTAAAAGTATCATGAATGGGGTTTCAAATTTTTTTCATAATATAAAATGGTTCTTATGTGCTTCATATCTTGTTTGTGAACTTTTTTTTTATTTTTTATTTTTTTGGGTCGAACACTATATGATTATTTTGTTTTAGATTAGTCCATCTTTTCTCAACAAAAAAAAAAAAAAAAGGATTAGTCCATCTACCCATGGGTTTATCCGTATCCTGTTGTTCTGTTCACTCTTTTGGGCTTCTACGAAACAATCTCCAACAAATAATATATATATTCAAAACCGTAAATCCTAACTTGTCGCTGGAGCCCAACATTTCTCAAGTCTCGGTGAAGGTTCGATGATGAAGCTTCTTCGTTCAAGATCAAATCCATGGCGTGGATATGCCATTTCTAGGGTTTTTGGTGCACTATTCTACTCCACTAAGGTGCTGCCTTCCTCCTAATCACCCCCATTTGAGCTTCTGCACAGTAGGATTTGGCAGATTCGAAACCCTGGGGATTCCATTCTGCCAATGCTCCATCAATGGCGGGTAGAAGGGGGAGACGTGAAGCAGCCCAAGCTCCAAGATTTCATCAAGCGGCTCCGAGGGTATCGTCGCTACTGCCATGCTCTGCAGATTTCAGAGTGGATGAGCGAAGCATGATCTGCATCCTGGAGACATTGCGGTGCGGTTAGATTTGACCTCAAAAGTCCATGGGCTTGAAGAAGCCGAGAGGTATTTTGATAGCATCCCAGAGTCATTAAAAGTGGTTCCTGTGTATGGTGCTCTGCTGTACTGCTATGCAAAGCATAATTGTTTGGAAAAGTCTGACAGTGTTTTTGAAAAGATGAAGGAGTTGGGTTTTTTGAAAGGATCATTCTGTTATAATACAATGTTAAACCTTTATTCTCAAATGGGTAAACATGGAAAGGTAGATATTTTAGTTAAAGAGATGGCAGAGAAAGGCATTGATTATAACATGAACACATTGAACATTCGGTTATATTCGTATGCAGCCACTTCGGATGTAGACCGAATGGAGAAGCTTTTGATGAAGATGGAAACTGATCCTCTGGTCACTTTGGACTGGCATGGTTATGCTGCCGCAGCGGATGCGTTCTTGAAAGCTGGACAATTGGAGAAGACAGCGGCATTGCTGAGGAAATCAGAGCAACTCATTAACAGTGAAACAAGGAAAATTGGTTATGAACACCTGATGACTTCATATGCTGCTATTGGTAGTCAACACGAGGTTTATCGAATTTGGGAATTGTACAAGAACATGGTAGGGTTCTACAATAACGGGTATCGGTGTATGTTAAGTTCATTGTTGAAGATGGATGACATTGATGGTGCTGAGAAGATTGTGGAGGAATGGGAATCTGGGAACAAATTCTTTAACATTCAAATACCCAACTTGTTGATCAAAGCTTACTGCAGGAAAGGTCTTTTGGAGAAGGCCAAATCATATGTGAAGAAGCTTTCAGAGGGTGGAAAGGAGTGTTGTCGCGCATGGGCTCTTTTGGCTACCACATATCATATGAATGATCGGATGGAAGAGGCAGTGGAAACATTGAAAATGGCAGCAAGCTCGGCATCTCGACCAGGATGGAAGTTTGATAATTCAACTTTGGCTGCTTGCTTTGAGTACTTAAAAGAGAAGGGAGATGTTGAAGAAGCACATGAATTGCTGATATTATTCAGAAAAAGGGGTCATTTTACAACAGATTTATGTGATAAAATTAGAAATTAGATTGATAGTTGTGCACCCACAGGTTCTGGAGTTAGGTGAAACGGGAAATTGTATGGAAGGGATTGATGAAGTTCAGGATTGAGGGATGCATGTGATAGTGCAGCTCAACAACGTGGGTAGCACCCAAATATTTAAGTAACATTACAAATCTATGAAGGGTGTTTTTTCCAGCTACGAACCAAAAGGTGAATATCTAGACAATTGCATCCTTTTTTTGCCCTTCTTAATGCTTCATGTGACTTTTTAACTGTTAATTACATGTAATTTCCTTGGAGCAAAGTGACTTACAGCACCGACCAGGGAATGGTTTATGGTGTTAGTGATTAACTATGTATCCAGCTTTCCTTTGAACTTTCTCCGATGACAATCTACCGCTGTAGTATCTGGAAAAGTAATGTGGAGCTTTCATTTTAAATTGCATAAGCACAAATCCGGATGCTTGCCACAAATAAAGTACAAATATGAACAGAAACAGAAAACTTAGTAGTAGGTATCTCTCTGGGTGCTACAATTGATTAGTACTGTTTCTTGTTGTTTATATGGAGCTGCTGCTGCTGTTTTTTTTTTCTTCTTTTGCAAGCCTCTCTTATAAGTCTGGTTCAATAATTTCCTTCTTTCGGCCTCTTATAATCTGGGGAACAGCGCATGACTACTAGCAATCCTTTGGTCCTTTGATCTTATGCGGCAGCAATGAAACAATTTTTTCCTCTGGCCTTAGTGGCATGCTTTGGTTGTCTCACATGTGGAAGGCTCTTATCGGACTCGACCTCCCCTCATGTCTCAGGAACAACTGGAAAATGGAATTTTACTGCATAAATTGCTCTAACTCTTCTAGGAGTTTTATCATCTGTGGAAACCTGCCTCAGAGGTCCTGCGTGACCGTCATCCTAAAGTTCCTAGGGCCAGGTTCTTGTGTTTTGGATATAGTATCCCAAGAACGAGTTCCATTTTGTGGACCAATCAGAAACATATTGACCGCGTTTGATTGGCTATCATCTTCCACCTCAAATCTCCTAATTTGTGTTTGCTTTGCCATGGATGTCCTGAATCCATTGATCACTTATTCTTTGAATGCCCTTATTCTGATGCTCAAGCGTGATGTTGTAGGAACTCCACTGTGTCACGGTCTTGAAACTCTTATTGGATTCCCTCTGTTTCTTGATTTTGGAAGGAGATAATAAACAACAAAGTTTTTATGGAAAGATTAACAAGTCATATACAAATACAAGTGCTCCCCCCCACAACTGTTTGAGCATGAGATTGTTGGGTCTCAATCTTCGTATTTCTTTCTTTAATTTATGTTTTTTTTTCGGCCCCACGTAAGGATGTTCTATTTGCTGGTTATCAGTTTCTTTGGGTGAATGTTGTTCTCATTGATGTATTTTTTTTCCTTTTCCTTTTCTTCATGCTTTTATTCTTTCTTTACTAAATACTATGATGAATTCTATGTAAATGCCAAACATTTTTCTCTTAGTTGTACCATTCTAATGGTTTTTTTTTTTACCTGCATCTCTAATGTATGATTTTTCGATAAGGCTTGAGCATTTGTAGTGTGTGTATATATGGACTTTACTTTCATTTTTCACAATTACTTTTCAAACAAAACATGGGATGATTGATCCCCATGCGATTGCTAATCAAAAGAACTACAAACAACTGAGTCACATTCTACCTGGAGCATTTACATTTTGGTTTCCTTATTGTAGTCAGAAGATTTGCACTTTTATAAATAAAATCGAGAATCATTTGTAGATGTGGAAAAAAGTATGCTCTAAGAAGAGAATATTGAAGCATGCACATCAAAAAAGTACGCACAACAAAATGCTTCTCTAAAGCAGAATACAAAAAGCAAAATCTCTTTCGATACGTAAGAGTTTCTGGTGTAAAAAGACTATACAGCTGGTTATGCTTACAACTTGTAGACACTAAAATGCTTGCCCAGTTGACCAAAAACCGTTTACCAAAAGGCTGAACTCGATTATTTTAAGGATTTTTAGCCGTTTTACCCCTTGGATTATATAACACATTTCGAACTTAATACTGTCGATTATTTTGTCCGCCTATATAAAAGACTAAGTTTAAAAAGCATTATAATTCAGGGATAAAACGGCAGTTTTATTTCAAAGGTTATAGACGATCCCAAATTGGTCGCGGGAATGGAAAGAGGGCAAGTAGGGGGCGTTATGGTCTTTGTGATTCAAATTGTAACTCGAAGTTTATATTCTCATTGTTCAACAAACTAGCCGTTTTGTTTAAGTTTTTCTATTTTCTAGGATAAGATATGCATGTTGTTGCTATCTTGTTTAATAATCCGGATTGTTGAGGGATTCTTTTGTTATCTGACTGGGTGTATTCAATTAGGATTCTAGAACGTTTAAAAAAAATACACCCCCTTAGTCACTTAAAAAAAAAAACATTTCAAAATCATATACATTCCTAATTGAATACACCTTATACCACGTTTAGGTTTGTTACAAAGGGTTGATTTTTAGTTTATATAATAACCATTGTTTCTATTCAATAATACACTACAATTCTCTCACTTTCGAAGTTCATCAGTAAAGAGTTCTTAATGCATTGACACTAGGGGCGGGATCTAAGCCTTTTTTGGCTAGGCGGCCGCCCAGCCGAGAATTTTCATAAAAACCAAATAGGTACATATGTACTTAATATATATATATATATATATTCTTCTCTAATGCAGACGTCCGCATTATGTTAAAGTCCAGTCATCTCTTTTGCAACTTCTTTTTGCAAGTGAATTTGGTTCTTAGTAGGGCTGGCAATGGGTCGGGTCGTGTCGGGTTCGTATCGTGTCGAGATATTAAACGTGTCAAGAATGCTCAACTCGAACCCAACCCATTTAATAAACGTGTCGTGTCGGGTTCAGGTCGTCTTTTATCGTGCGGGTTTCAAGTCGTGTAACGGGTTGATAAATAATAACATGCATGTTACAAAAGTCACAACTGAAACAATTTAAATATAAAAAAAAGGAGAGAGGAGAGAAAATATAAGGAAAAGAAAGAAAAAAAGGATAGAGAGAGGAGAGAAGAGACAAGGAGAAAAAAAAAAAAAAAAAGGAGAGAGAGAGAGAGAGAGAGAGAGAGAGAGAGAGAGAGAGAGAGAGAGAAGAGAGAAGGAAAGAAAAAAAAATAAAAAAGAGAGGAGAGAAAACTAAAGAGAAGGAAAAGAAAGAAAAAAAACAAGAAAGGAGAGAAAACTAAAGAGAAGTAAAAAAAGAGAGGAGAAAAGTGAGAAGGAAAAGAAATTAAAAAAGAGAGAGGAGAAGATAGACGGAAAAGAAAGAAAACAAAAGAAGAAAAAGAAACATTATAAATTTCAAAAGGCATAGTATATAATCACAAAGTTGTTTCTAGCATGGTGGATAAGGTGTTGGAGAGTAATGAGGATGGTGGGGGTTCGAAACCCCATATGTATATTTTGAAGTCTCTATTTCTCTATATTTTTTCGCGGGTTGGCGTGTCTTATACGAGTTGACACGACCCGTTTAATAAACGGATTACACATGTGTTTTAATGGGTTGGCGGGTTGACCCAAAACCCACTCGTGTAATAAATGGGTCAAAACGGGTTGACCCGAAAATTACCCAATTATTAATCGTGCGGGTTCGAGTCGTGTTTTTTCCGTGCTGATTTATAGTCGTGTAACGGGTCGGGTAGGAAATTGCCACCCCTAGTTCTTAGTGGAACTCACTTGGCTTGAGGAGCCATACTAGCTTAGTGGAACCCATTCATCACTGACGTGGCTCTATAATTAAACAAAAAAAGAAGCAAGCTTACAGTAGCAACCAATGATATTGCTTATTGTTCTTCTGCACACCTTCCCACTTTTGGGATACTTTTTGGAAGGCCCAACCCCTAATTATATATTTATATATGGAGTGCTTACCATGTGTTTGCTTTATACATGTATGAAAGCAAATCCACCTACAGAAAAGAAGCTGGAAGGACATGACCGGACTTTAACACAATGCAGATGTCCGCATTAAAGAAAAACTCTATATATATATAAAAGATAATTTGCTAATAATATCAATAATGCTGCGATAATAATTGAAGAATTTAAGACTCTTAAGCTTCTCGTAGGATAAAATTTTATATTTAAATAATGTTGTTTTGTATTACATTGCATTTACTTGTGATTTTTATTTTTGTTAAGCTTTTATTTATGTATAGGGATGTATTTGAGGTAACACTTATACGTCTCTTGCCTCAAATCCATGGTGTGGCCATGCCATTTCTAGGGTTTTAGGCGCACTATTGTACTCAACCGAGGCCCTGGCCTCCTCCACCATCTCCTCCTCACCCCCATTTCAGTCCCTGTACTGTAGGATTTTGTCGGTTGGAAATCGAAATCCTAGTGTTTCCGTTGTGCCAATGCTGGATCAGTGGGTCAAAGAAGGGAGACAATTGAAGCAATCAGATATCAAAGATTTCATCAAGCAGCTCGGTAATTCCCGTCGCCATTGCCAAGCACTCGAGGTTTCAGAATGGATGAGTGATGTGATGAAGCACGATCTGTCTCCTGGAGATATTGCTGTTCGGCTAGAATTGATCTCCAAAGTCCGTGGTCTGCAACAAGCTGAGAGGTATTTCGATAGCATCCCATACCCATTTAGAGTAGTGTATGGTTCTCTCTTATACTGCTATACACGTCGTAAATCTGTGTAGCAGGCTGACATTACTTTCGGAAAGATGAAAGAGTTGGGTTTTGCGAAAGGATTTTCGGATTATAATGAAATGGTATCCCTCTATTTTCGAACTGGTGAATATGAAAAACCACACGTTCTAGTCGAAGAGATGGAAGAAAAAAACATTGTTTATGACATTCACACATTGAAACTTAGGATGTTAATGTTATCGTATGCAGCCACTGGTGACTTCGACCAAATGGAAATGGTTTTGGTGAAGATGGAAGCTGATCCTCTGGTCACCATGGACTGGCGTGGTTATTTTGTTGCAGCGAAAGCGTGCTTGAAGGCTGGACTGTTGGAGAGGACATCGACATTTCTGAGGAGATCGGAGCAACTGATTGACAATGACTCAAGGAAAATTGGTTATGAACGCCTGATGACTTCATATGCTGCTATTGGTAAAAAAGATGAGGTTTATCGGATTTGGGATTTGCACAAAAACACCGTAGGATTCTACAATAATGGGTATGGATGTATGGTGAATTCGTTAGTGAAGCTGGGTGACATTGACGGTGCTGAGAAGATTGTGCAGGAATGGGAATCTGGGGTCAAATCATATGTGACATTAGAGTACCCAACTTGCTGGTCACTGCTTACTGCAGGCAAGGTCTGTTTGAGAAGGCCAAATCATATGTAGAGAAGCTTATGGAGAGCGGAAAGGGGAATGCAAGCGCATTTCTTGTTTTGGCTACGGAATATCATATGAATGGTCACATGGGAGAGGCAGTGGAAGCAATGAAAAACGCAGCAAAAATGTCACGTCGACCAGGACGGAAGTTTAACCATTCGACTTTGTATGCATGTCTTAATGACTTGACAGAAGGGAGATGAGATATCAGCACATGAGATTTTGAGATTATTGGGAAAAAAGGGTAATTTACCAACAGGTTCGTGCGATAAGTTGGAAAATTATGTTGATGGTGGCCAACCATAGGTTTGAAGTCCTTGATAAGGTGGAAGGGGAAATCATATGGTAGGGATTAATAAACTTCAGGATGAAGGGAGGGACACATGTAAAAGTGGAGCTTAACAATGTGGGTAGGCTGGTAGCCGCTCAAAAGCTATGTAAATGTATGAAAGGTATTTTGCTCTATCTAAGTGCTTCAGATGACTTGGTAGCTACTAGTTATGCTTCAGTAAATACATGGTTAGAAAAATGGAAACAGAGGGCTTCCAGCTTAATCTAAATTTTGTCAATCAAGCATTTACATGTGATTTGGTTTTGGGGAAAGGTGGTATACAAGCGGCAAAGCCATTGTTTGAAACATTGTGGTGTTGTTAGTAACTATGTATCTGACATGCCTGTGAACTCTCTCAGATGGTAATGTTCCACTATAATATCTGTCTTATTTGCAACAATTAACAAGTGCTTCTTGTTGCTTTGAAGCATCTCAACCCTAATCTCAAAAGACATCAGACCAGAAAACAAAAATTCTCAAAAGACAAAAAAAAGGGGGAAAGCACAAAGAATGTAGAACCAGTTGGTAGTGGGAATCCATCATGGCACATTGTGATCAGCATCCCCAGTTGTTTTTTACTCTGTTTTTGTTAATCCACTTGGTTTGAACTAATATTGTTTGTATTTTTTCTGGCCAAAAAACAAGCGGCAATAGCTAATACTTTTCTTAATAAAATATGGAGATTTTTTAAGACAAGCAAGCCGCCGGCAATGAAATTGTCACTATCTGCCACAATTCAAGACTAATGCAGTTAAGCATCCACTGACAAGTGACTACTATAGGAAATTGGTTTATTAGCACCAAAGCAGATTAAAAAAATCTGCCTAATAGTAGAAACACATAAGAAAAACAGAGGCCTCCTAGAAATGCCAGCAGAGGAAAAATGTCAAACAAGAACATACATAAGCTTTCACGTATGTAACGAAGTGCTAACGTTAATTACAAAGCCGTCGCATCGCATGAGATGATGGTTTTAGTACAAGTAATGGCAGTCATGTTTAGTTACTTCAGAATTATTTCAAGTGTGCCTTTTAATATATTTTAAAGTCAAAAGACTCAGATTGTCGTTTGATAGTTTTTGGTTAGCCAACTTGCAATGGAGCTGTTCATCTTAGTCATCTTGGCACTGGTATTAATTTTTGTTTTTTCAGCTTTCTTTGTGCTGCACTCTTGGACTTCATCCCCAAAGAGCTTGGTGGACATCCCAGGTAGCTTGGGTTGGCCAATTGTGGGAGAAAGCTTCTCATTTATATCAGAGTTTTCAAGTCCATCTGGTATTTACAGCTTCGTGAACAAGAGGCAGCAGAGGTAATCAGTTAAATCAAAATCTGCCCCCGCATCTGCTTTTGACTTTTGCATTAAAAAATGAATTTCCAAATTTTCCAAAAGATATCTATTGTGATCTTTCAATATTGAGCTTAGTAATTTATTTTGTAGGTATGGGAAAGTGTTCAAGACTAGCGTGTTGGGTAGATTCACTGTGTTCATGACTGGGAGGGAAGCAAGCAAGATGTTGTTAGCAGGAAAAGATGGGATGGTGAGCTTAAACCTCTTCTACACAGGGCAGCAGGTGCTAGGGCCTACCAGCTTGCTCCAAACCACTGGAGAAGAACACAAGCGGCTTAGACGGTTGATTGCAGAGCCCCTATCAGTTGATGGCCTTAAAAAATATTTTCAGTTTATCAATACTCTTGCAATTGAGACATTAGAACAGTGGCCCGGACGAACAGTTTTGGTTCTTGAAGAAGCTTCTACAGTTTAGTATTGGTTACCAAGTCAAGTAGAACATTTCTTAATCTTCACTGTAACACTGTTTCCAGGGAAACAACTTAATATTCTAATGTTTTTGCAGTTCACTCTCAAAGTTATCGGCAACATGATAATGAGCTTGGAGCCTGCTGGTGAAGAGCAGGAGAAGTTTAGATCCAATTTTAAACTCATCTCTTCCTCCTTTGCATCCTTGCCATTTAAAATCCCGGGAACAGCTTTCCATTGTGGTATTCAGGTATCACTTCTCCATAGCTCATCAGTTTGAAACAGTAATGAATACACACATTTTTCTTCTTCAAATGTTGTATGGATATTGTTGGAATTTATCTCTGATACTTTCGTTCTATCTTATCAGGCTCGAGATAGGATGTATGCAATGTTGGACTCAGTCATTTCTAAAAGGAGAAGTGGAGGAGGCTTCCAAAAAGATTTCTTAGAATCACTGATAATGAAACATAGCAAAGCAGCAGGGGATGAAGATGATAAAGATAAACTCACTGATAAACAATTGAAGGACAACATATTAACTCTGTTGGTTGCAGGTCATGATACTACAACTGCTGCTCTCACATGGCTTATTAAATTCCTTGGAGAAAACCCTTCTGTTCTGGAACAACTAAGAGTAATGTATCTAGCCACCAAGGCAAAGTTTTCATTGATATTTGATTTCCACAGAGGACTAAAATATAAAAAGTGTCGAACTTACAGGATGAGCATCGACAAATTCAATCAAACCGGGAAAATGGAGCAAATCTAACATGGGATGAAGTTAACAACATGCCTTACACCGCCAAAGTAATCAGCTCATTAATCTTTAAAGCTCTTCTGTTATACCTTATCAGCTGACAACTGACATCTAGAGTGTTGAATCTCAGGTAATCAATGAAACTCTTAGAAGAGCCACTATATTACCTTGGAATTCAAGAAAAGCTGCCCAGAATTTCGAGATTGATGGTACGACACTTTGTCTCCAAAAAAGAGATAACAAAAGCCAACATTTACTGCACAAGTGTGACTACATGGTTCTAACTCATTTTCCACATTACAGGATACAAAATAGAGAAAGGCTGGTCTGTTAACTTGGATGTTGTCTCCATTCACCATGACCCAGAAGTCTTTCCCAATCCTCAAAAGTTTGATCCCTCTAGGTTTGATGTAAGCTCTTATCATATCAGCAATTTGCAGTTGATATATGTAGCTTCCTGAAACCATTGTATTGTTAAATAATTGTTAAAAAAAACGCAGGCACCCCTAAAGCCTTTTAGCTTTCTTGGATTTGGTAGCGGACAGCGAATGTGCCCCGGAATCAACCTGGCCAAGCTCGAGATCTCAGTATTCATTCATCACCTGGTCTGCAGATACAAGTAAGATGAAGAATGACATCTTTCAGTTTAAAATATTAAAATTATATATAAAAAATTAACAGCTATAAGCATAAGTCAAATAGAAACTATGCAGCGTAATCAAACGTATAGAACAAACATATGATTAATCCAATTTTTCATGCAGTTGGAAATGGTTGAGATGGATGGGATAACTTTAACCATCTGAGCTGAATTTTCAGGGAACTTTTGATTCTGATTCTGGATTTAATCACTATTACAGGTGGATCCCTCTGGAGAAAGACGACTCGGTCCAGCCAACTCTTGTAAGGATGCCGAAAAACAAGTATCCGATTGTAGTTGAGTCACTTTGAGACATTTACGTTGAAGAAAATCCCAAGGCACCGATAAGAATAAAAGTTACTAGATTAATCCTAGCTTGTCTTTGTGTAATTTTGCTGCTTATTGGTATTGGGCATGTCTTGCTCAAATGCTACAAGTTGTCTACTTCTATCATGGATGCATAAGATCGATCTGTTTCAACTTACCCAAGTAGTGTATAAGAATACTACATAAAATTGAGAGAAGAATCTAGATTCTACTCACATTTTGCATCTATTTATAACCATAAAAGCAACCATTTTCGTCCTAGTTGTCAACAAATAAAGACCGAATGATCTTCAATTAATACATCACCTTTATTGTTTTTATTTTTATTTTTATTTTAAATTAATCAAATATACGAGGAGGAAGATTCGACTTGCGTGTAAAAAGAATGGCCTCACTATCCTGACCAATTGATCTAACACGCATGCACATTTTGTTGTAGCTAAGTCTATACCAAACATACAAAGTCTTCATTTTGTTGCATCAACATTAATTCATGGGCCCCATTACATGATATTATTATCAACTTCCAATGGGATCACCCTTTTTGTCACAAATGATTCATGTCTTATCAAGTTTCTGCTATATGGCAATGCCTCCTCAAACGTTGACCCTCTTTCAAAGCGAGGCAGAATGATGAATTTTAGAGTCTCTAGGAATCATCAAGAGAATTCCATTTTTGGTATACATCAAGAAAATTTTAGAGTGAAAATAAAATGCGCCCTCTTGCTGGCAGTGTTACAGACAACCTTTAAATAAAACAAAAGAAAAATAGCAATAGAGATACAACCTCACATTAGATTTAAAGGCTATTAGCTATTTAGCTTATAGTTCAGTAGGATGCTAAAATTAATCTGAGATATGGCAAAGGTATTTGGAAATTATGTTCCAGTTTATTGGTCTGTTTTCAGAGCAGTGTCTTAAGGCCTTACAGCACAGTTGTATGACAAAACAAAAACTTGCATCTGATGCATCAAGTAATAGTTGAACCACCATAAAAGCAGTCCACTGATACAGGAATTTTCACAAGCGTTCATAATAACCAAGGGAGAAAACCATTTGAAACAAAACTAGAACCTACAAAAAGCTGCAGGATAAAACAACTACCACACAAAAAGCTCAGTGCGAAAAAATTAATCACTGGTGCTGCCCACAAGCACAATTCTCAGTTCCTACATCAACTGCAATACAGGGAGGCTGAACTTTCTCATCTTTGTACCAAGTTGAGCGTTTTTCAACTAGTTCATTTAAGAAATCATCCAATTTATCGATGTTGACGCTTGGCATCACCACAACATGGGCAATATTTCCTTGACAAGCCAACTGCCACCTGCGAACAAACTCCTCGTCCTTAGGCCGCTCAAACACAACCGTGCTACTTAGCTCATTCAGCATGGCACTGATCCCAGCATCACGAAGGCGGTCCTTCAAGTAGTGAGCATTTCTAAGACATTTCTGGACTTCTTTTTGGAACCCTTTGTAACCTTTTTTGTTGAGGGTGTACCATAGGAAGATAGGAGCATGGCCATTCCGGCTTCCCATGATTGTGGCATCCCTTGACGCAAGGTACTCTACATTCCTTGAAAGGGCATTAATGTGCTCCAGCCTTGTTATCTGAACACCACAAGGCATTGGACACCCTACAAACTTGTGACCAGAAACGCTGACGCTTCCAATGGGCTTCTTGAAAGTAACTTTTGGTGCCTGGTTACCACCAAATATAGTCAGAAAAAGGGAAAAAAAAAGATATCCTTCACACAAAATACATGTGCAGATTATAATGAAGAAGCAACACCAAATAATACCACAGCTATTTCTGACTAGCTTTTACAAATATAAGCTCACTCTAATCCCATTCTTATACCAACAGAGTTGGAACCAAACTTCTCCAAGGTTATTCATCTACCGAGTAAATTAATATTGTCAATCAAAGATAGTAGTCTATGCTCATTTACTATACCATCCAATCACAGATATCAGTATCATTCATTTAGCCCAACTTTGAAGGAAATATTATAAACTATTTTTGTCAAGATGAAATATTAGTGCCAAATCCACCCTCTCATCCAGAAAGGCTGAAAGCAGAACAATCCAATGAGCAGGCTTTTGTGTAGGGTTAAATATTAGCAACAAAAAACATCCACGACAAAATTGCAGTGGGAAAACTCTTCATACGAATTACAAGAAATTTTGGAACCAAAGGAGTTAATTTTTTTTTTTTTTTTTTTTGGTCTGAACCAAAGGAGTTAAATGGGCATAAGGTATAAGAGACAGATTCCTATCCACAACAACTACAAGAGTTGAAATGAGATGACATACACGTTTGACAAAAGGCATCATGAGTCCAAATAATGCTCCGTCGCAGTGAATGTAGAACCGGTCTTGCTTGAATCCACATTCTTCAAGGGTTTGTATGACAAGATCCAGGTCATCAACAGCTCCTTTGACAGTTGTTCCTGCAGTTCAAGCAATTCAGTATATCAATCAACCAAACAAAATCACATAGGTGCGTATAATATATGGATGAATTCAGTTTGTATCAATGTGTCTCTTAACTCTTACACATACCTATATTAACATTGATGATGGCTGGTTTATCCTTGTTAAGAACAAGCTTAGCTCTGAAATCCTTGCAATCAATCTCACCAGAGATCAGACAATCAACCTTCACACATTCCATTCTATACATTCTCGCTGCTTTAAATATCGAATAGTGCGACTCTCGAGAAGCATACAGAATCCCATCTGGAAATACTTCTCTCCTGCAAGAACGCAAATGAATTATACATCAAATCGAATTGTTTTAGTTTACTGTGCTAAAGAATCAAGAATAGATTCACACGAATAATTAATCAAACCATTGACGTACCCAACTAAAACTCCATGAAGATTTCCTTCCGTACCACAATTGGTAATGTATCCCCAATAGTCACTCTTCTCAATCTCCCACAACCGAGCGAACCAATCTAGAACACCCACTTCGAACTGTCTCGAATGGACTCCATAGTTGCTTTCGATAAACGGATCTCCCAAATTGTTGATGGAGAAATGCTGCAACTGCGTTAAAGCACCATAATCGAAGTCCAAATTGTAAGGATAACCTGCATTCCAAGCAAAACCCACAATTTAGATTCAAGATTCTTGCTTGGATTTCAAAGCACTGCAATAAAAAATCACAGAAATGAAAAGTACCCAAATGGTGCTTGGTCCTTTCGACGAGGGTCTTGCGGTAGCGAGCAAGAACGCTAGCCATGTAGGCGTCTTTATCGCCGGTGAACTCGTCGTTGGCTTCGGGTTCCGTCACGGCCAGGCACGTGGTATGCACGTTCCTGCCAAGCACCATCGGTTTCTCTAGGCTGCTTTTGAGATCTTCGGCAAACTTTCCGATAAGATCGCAGTTAACGTCGCTGGTTACGACCGTAGGCAGAGGCTCTGCAACCACAGCCGTCGGATCGAAATCCTCCAATAGCAAGTCCATCGCCACGGCCTCATTCTTGCGATCCATGAAACTTGTAAAGTTGAAAGTTGAAACCCAAAAAACACAGAAATTAAAATGTAATCGAAAGTAGGGAGAGTTTAATCTGCAGAAGGAGAAAAGAGAGAGTTGTCTTGTGACGAGAAAGAAGAGGGTGAAGCCTTGGTTTTATTTATACTCTCATTTCTTTTGACCCAAAAAAAAATCTCATTTATTTTGACCAAAAACAAAAAAAAATATCATTTCTCATTTCTAATTGGATCTGTGAGTCCGTGAGAATGCTAATCTGTCATGAAAAATTAATATCGTCGATTAATTTTTTTTCTTTTTTGTGGTAATTAAATTTTATATTTTATTTTTTGTGATATCAGCAGATTTGGCGACGCATGTAATAATCAGTCAAAACTCTATAAGCACGTTTGGTTTGTTTAATTAATTTTGAGTAGTAACTAGAATGCACACATTGATATGCGCGTGTAAAATGTTGGACGTTACATGTGATATGCATGGGCTGTGGCATATTGATGCGTGTGGCATATCACATGAATGGTAGGTAAAGGAGAATATCGGGTGAATAGTAACTGCTCTTAACTAAGAATGGCAACGGATCGGTTTGGAACTAAACAAGACAATACCATCAACATTCCCGTTCTTGATCCCTATCTCCGATAAAAAAGAAATTCGAGGAATCCCCGTCTCCATCCCCATCAAGGGGCTACCTCCCAAACCAGTCCCTAAATCCCTGATTTTTTTAATTTAAAATATATTTATACTATATAATAACACTTCAATTTTATCTTAAATTTTACCTAAACCAACTTAATTACACTAAATTTAGGTAATATTAAAATTTTCATTTTATAACATCACATCACTCAAGTACATAAGTTGGACAAATGATTTAAAGTAGTTTGTATTAGCCAGAATTTCATGTGTGTGAGAAAATAACAAAAGGAAATCATTACACCCTCGGCCATCACTTGTGAGAACCTGAATTAAAGAGTGATGGGGATCAGGGTTTGAACACAGGTCACTAACCACTTGGGTTGACGAGTTTTCATATTTTGAAATCATTGCATAACAATCTCGTCATCTATACTATTGAAAATGTCTCTCTCAATATATGCAACGAAGCAATCATTTATACATAAATTGAAGATCTATTAAAATCAATAAAAAGAAAAAAAAATTAAAATTTTATGAACTAAAAATAAATAAAGAAAGAAAAAAATAAAAAAGAGAATTGCTAAAAAAAACTTTAGTGAATAAATTAACCTAATTAAAACTTGATAGTTTAATATGGAGTTTGAGAGAAAAACTCACAGACAGTGCATTGAGAAAGTCTGCTTTGTTGCTTGTGTATCTCCAAGAAAGGAGAAAAA